CGGCATCTGCTCCTACGGGCTCTTCCCAGTGCCCCCAAGTTCCTTGCCCTGGCGTCCCCCCGGCTGCTACCAGGCGGGGGCCAGTCACGTCCTCCAAGCCTCGGTGGGATGGGGGCTTGCCCTGCAAGGAGCAGAGACCACCCTGGACAAAGAAGGGACAGACCAGGGGCCTGGGGACCCATGAGGCTGTGCATGTGTGGCTGGCACATTGGCCACAGACATATTTGCCGGGAGTGTGTCTGCCATAACCAATCGGCCATGTGGTGATTTTGCAAGAGAAAAAATAAAAAACTGGCAAACAGTTGGTTTGACAGTGCGATTTCCTCAAACCAGTAGACAGTTAGGTTTCGTTTCTCCATCAAAATGAGCAGGTGCGTGCAGGGCAGGACAGGGCCCCTCCACGTCCACGTCCACATGCCGGTGGCCAGCAAGGAGCCTGACTGGCGCCACCATCAGAGGTCAGGGACGCGTTCACGTGAACCGTGTCTCACACACGCCTGTGAACACAAAGCGCACACACACACGGGAGCACGTACACACACACACACACAAGCACATTCGGAAATTTAAGATAAAAGTCCACATTTAAACAACAAAAAGCATTCTAGAAAGTTTAGAAAGTGAGGGGACCTGGAAATCTCCTGTGACCCTCCTACCCTCACAAACACCCGACTCCCTTCATTCTTGTGCACAGTAAATGGTGTAGTATTTTGTTCACATTTTTAAAATTTGGTTCTTAAAATGGGCAGATAAATTAGGTGTTCTTTTTTAACTTCTGGGAAATGCTTCAAAAACAGGATAGAACAGAAAGTTTTTATTTGCAAACACTATTAACCATTTCCTGTTCCAACCTCAGAAATCGCTGTGAATCTGCTGCTGCCTCCCAGGGCCACCACCGCCTGCGTCCAGGCTGGGTGACATCACCCCAGCCTCCCTCAGAGGCGGTTTCGGGATGATCCTTCTTCCTGTGTTTTACCATAAATGGAAACCTCCCTGTGACTCGGCCGCTGGCTCGGGAAAGCGCGGGGGGATCCCCTCTCCCCCACTTTCCATCGCGCTGGCTCCTGTTCCGGCTCCCCCCACCTGCCCATCCGCCAGCCCGCCTGCACACCCTGGCGTCACCACTGGGCACCTTGGAAACCAGGACTCCTCTCCTCTCAGGGAGGGGGCACCCCACAGGACCAGACCCCTGGGACCAGAGCGCCTGGTGGGGGAGGGGGGCACCCCGCAGGACCAGACCACCTGGGGGGGAGGGGGGCACCCGGCAGGACCAGAACCCCTGGGGGGGAGGGGGGCACCCCGCAGGACCAGACGTCTGGGGGGGAGGGGGGCACCCCACAGGACCAGACCACCTGGGGACCAGACCTCCTGGGGAGGGGGGGGACACCCCACAGGACCAGACCACCTGGGGGGGAGGGGGGCACCCCGAAGGACCAGACTACCTGGGGACCAGACCTCCTGGGGAGGGGGGGACACACCGCAGATCCAGACCACCTGGGGGGGAGGGGGCACCCCACAGGACCAGACCACCTGGGGGGGAGGGGCCACCCTGCAGATCCAGACCACCTGGGGGGGAGGGGCCACCCCACAGAACCAGACTGCCTGGGGGGGAGGGGGGCACCCCGCAGGACCAGACCGCATGGGACCAGAGCGCCTGGGGGGGGAGGGGGGCACCCCCCTCGCTAACAGCCCGGGGCCTCCGGAGCCTTCTCCCCTTGGTCCTGCCGGAAGCAAACAGTGGACACGGAGCAGGTCGGACACAGGGACACGGGCACACGCGCCCAGCAGGCGCAGCCCTGACAGTCTCCCGGCACAGACCACAGGCCTCCAGAGCCCGCTGCAGACGCGCACACGTGCGGGAACGCGGCCAGGGTCCTGCCCCATGGGGCCCAGCCCGGCAGGCCACGCGCCAGGCTCCCCCACAGCTCTCCAAGTGCAGGACGCTCAGGCCGTCCCACGGGCGACCCCGTGAGGCACTAACCTCGCCAGGCGCGCGGTCCTTGGGCAGAATGTCGCCCTCGAGAGAGCCTGGCCAGGGTAGGAGGCCAGCGAGAGAGCCTACGATCTCCCAGGGACCGCACACAACACGCTCTTTGCGAGAGACCCCTGACCCGGGGGTCGGGGGGCATCCCCGACGCCTGCCTACTGGAGAGGGTCCGGAGGTGGGGGCAGGGAGCAGGCCACCCTGGCTGGGACCTCCCGAACCTGAAGGGGTGAAGCCAGGACACGGCGGGGAGGAGAGGGCCGGCTAGCAGGGGCCACCAGAAGGGGACAGATGAAGACCCTGACCTTCCCCTTCCCTCCTGTCCCCAATGAAAGATGGTGGGGGCAGGGCACACACACAGTGTGTGACGGGGACAGTGTGTGTGATGGGGACACTGTGTGTGTCGGGGAAACTATGATGGGGATACTGACAAGGACACTGTGTGTGAGGGGACAGTTAGTGTGGTGGGGACAGTGTGTGAGGGGACACTGTGCTTGGGGGAGACAGCACGAGTTTGGGGGAGAGCATGCCGACAGGTGGTAGGGAGCTCCCCTTGGGGGTATGGCACCCCAATAGTCCCTGGGGCTCTTGCCCCCTCCCCCACCTGTCCCAGCCTCCTCCACCGGCTCTGATCCGGTCACCTGCTGGTCCTGCCCACCCCAGGGTGGGGTGGGAGGCTCCCCTGGGCCCCCCCCCCCGCCTCCCCAGCCTTCACGGTCTCTGGGCCCCCCGCTGCCTCCATATCACCCCTGCCAACCCAGTGCCCCCAGAGTCCGAGTGCCCCTCTCAACCTCTCCACTGGGCCCCTGCACGCAGCCCACCACCCCAGCGGACATCAGTGGGAAAGGGGGATAGGAGCCGAGGAGGGAGAAGAGAGGAAGTGACAGAGAGGGGACAGAGGGCGCTGGGCAAGGAGGGGCACCACACACCCTTAGGTTCTCCGGGGGCCCACTCTAGATGCGCATCCAAGCTCCTGCCCGTGGAATCACAGCCAGTGTGGCTGGGGTGCAGGGGCCCCCGGGGGGCCCGACGACATCTTCCACCCAGAGCACACCCCCACACCGCCCCTCCCGGCAGACCCTCCAGCCCCGAGCCCCACAGGGCATCGTGCCCCCCAGCGCGGAGCCTCGAGGCAGGTGCCCACAGGTCTGAGCCTTGCCGGGCACCCGGCAGTCCTTAACCTGACCTGACCCGCCTCCCCAGCCCCAGGCCAAGCGCCTGCCATCTGAGGGGAGGCCACGAGGCAGGTGTGCGGGAGACAGCTGTCCACGAGGGGTGTCCACGGGGGCTGTCCCCCAGGCCAGCCCCTGAGCCATCCGGCAGCTTCGGGTGAGCCACAGGCCCTGTGCCCAGCCTGGCCGGCAGGGCTCCCGCCCGCCACGCCGCCCCCGCGGCCCGCGCCCCGGCTCTGGGAGTGGCCCTTCGCTCAGCACCGAAGCTTCCTCTGCTCGCCCTCGCCCGCAGACGCGTCTTTGATGCTCTTTTTCCACAGCTTCAGTTCTCTTTAATGTCTTCCCTTCGCCGCCGAGCCGAGTGGAGCTGGGCGGCCCGCCAGCTGTCAGGCGGGCTCTGCCTTGTCGCTCAGGCTGTGAGACCCACGCGCCCAGCCACCCGTGTCAGCCGTTTCCGCTCCCGCTCGTCACCGTCGGACACGAGAGCACGGGCCAGGAAACCGGCAGCCGCCTCCAGACCCCAGCGTCCCTGGGGACCCCAGGACCACGTGCTGGGGGCGCCGGGCAAGGGGGGCTGCGTGACAGGTTGAGCCTCCAGGACTGGGTGTCCTCGGGACACTGCGTGGAGGAAGAGCCGGGGGCCGCTGCGGAAGGACGCCGGACCCCGCCTGGCCTGCGGCCCCTGAAGCTGGGCCAACGGCCCCAGGGCCGGGCAAACCAAAGCCACCCCGGGGCCAGGGAGACCCCAGTCCCCGACACAGGACTGGAGGAGAGGGGTCTCACGTGGGCTCGTGCAGACCCTCAGCTGCCCCAGAGTGGTGACCTTGCAGCCCAGGGGTGGGGTGAGCCCTTGGCCGTGGAAGAGCCCCCTGCCCTCTGCCCCTGCCCCTGCCCCCTGAGCCTGCCCCCTGCCCTCTGCCCCTGTCCCTACCTCCTGCCCCCTGTCCCTGCACCCTGCCCCTAACCCCCGCCCCTGCTCCTACCCCCTGCCCCCTACCCCCTGCCTTTGCCCCTTACCCCTGCCTCTGCCCCCTGCCCTCTGCCCCTGTTCCCTGCCCCTGCCCCTTGCCCCCACCCCTCCCCTCCTTCTTGCCCCCTGCTTCCTGCCCCCTGCCCTGCCCCTACCCCCTCCCCTTGCCCCCTGACCCCTGCCTTTGCTCCCTGACCCCTGCCCTTGCTCCCTGCCCCTGCCCCCTGCTCCCTGTCCCTGCCCTGCCCTCCCCCCTCCCCTTGCTCCCTGCCCTCTTCCCCTGTCCCCTGCTCCTGTCCCTGCCCCAGCCCCTTCCCCCCACCCCTGCCCCCTGTCCTTCCCCCCTGCTCCCTGCCCCCTGCCCCCCTCAGCAGTGTCAGGGTATGGTGGATTCCACCCCTCAAGCACAGGCAAGGTGGGCTGACGCCACCCTTCATTGTAGATGAGGGGTGGAGGGGGGGGGGGTGCCTGAGCCCAGACGACCTGCCCTCCCAAGGGCAGGAGGGGGGAGGACACAGGGCCCTGCAACCTCACCAGCCTCAGCGGAAGGGCGAAGAAGCAACAACAAATAAAGGGACAAAAACCGCTGCTGGACAGACCCCACAGTGGGGGAGCGGCGGCTGGCCTTCCCTCCTCCTTCGGCCTCTCTCTCTCCCTCCATTTCTGGGTCTCTGTGGCTCCTGCGTCTCTACCCTCTCACTTCTATCTTCTATCTCTCCCCCCATCTCCCTCTCCCACCCCCCCCCACCCCCATCTCTGTCTCTCTGTCTCCCTCTGTACCCTTCTCTCTCTCAGGCTCCCCTCCAATCTCCACCCACGTGGAGGAGGAGGAAGAGGGGGCAGGGCTGGGGCTGGGGCGGGTCTCGTCCTAACAACGGGACAGTTTCCTTTCCGCTGACACTCTACCAGAGCCGTGGAGGAAGAGATTACGGAGGCAGCGGCTGCCGCTCCAGGCATGGGGACCCCACGGGCGCCCTGGCCTCTTGTCTGGGCCGTGCTGCAGCTGGGCTGGTGGCCAGGATGGCTCTTAGGTACGTGGTCAGGGGGAAGACTTCCCGCCCATGCCCCCTGGCAGGTGGAGAGGGGGCTGGGGGGGTGGGGGGCCAGGGCCTGGAGGCCCAGCTCTGCCCCTGGCAGGGCACTGTGTGGCTTTGGGCAGGGGAAGGGGCCTCTCTGGGCTCCAGTTTCCTGCCTGCCCACCTCACCTGGTGTCCAGTCCAATCCTCGCCGATAAGCAGGCAGGAACCTCCCAGCTCCTCCTCAGAGTCCCGTGGGACAGGCCGGACACTCTCTGAAGGATGATGGGTCCTCAGCCCAGATGCTAATGTTCTCCTGGGGATGGGACTAGCCTCCCAGGGGGAGGACTGTCTCTGCAAGGCTCCAGGCTGGACAGCCCAGAGACACTTCTCTAATTATATCCAAGGTGCGGCCATTCAGGTGAAGACTTCTCACCTCTCCAGCCCACCTGCCATGGGCCTGGGGCCTCTAGACAAGACTCTTGGGTGTGCAGGGGTGGGCACGGCTGGGGGGGGCATCTGCGGCAGGATCTGGCAAGGAGGCCCTGGCCCCTAGCCCCTTCTCGGGGGGTGTCTGTCGGGCAGGCCCTGGGGGCCCCCGGTCAGAGTCTGCTGGTCGGGGAGAGGGGCCCAGCTGCCCTTGTCCTCCAGGGAAGGTGGATCCCTGGGAGGGGCCCAGAGTCTTTTCTCTGGACCTCGCTGGGCTCAGAGGTGTGACGGCCCCTGAGCCCCCTCCCCCCCGACCCTGGGGCTGCTGTCCGGAGTGTTGATGCCCCTCCAGGGGGCCTCCAGGCAGCAACCACCCTGCATTTCCTCCTCAGGCTGGCCTGGCCCTCAGGTTCAAGGGAGGGAACTCAGAACAGAGGTCGGTTGTCCAAGGGCCTGTGGCCAAAAGGTGCCCCACGGGGGTCCTTGCGTGGGAGCCCGGTGAACAGGGGCCGAGGGGCAGATGTCATCCCAGCATAGTCAGGCCATGACTCAGCCCTGGTGGCCAGCTACCCACCAGGACCCCTTCCCAAAGCAGGGGAAGATAAGAACGTGGCCGGGCGTGCCTCCATTTCCCCACCTCAGCTCTGAGCGCTCACGCTGCCGACATCACAGGCCGGGTGGTCCTCCGGCTCTTCCATCGGCCTCCGGCACTGCTGGCTGTGGGACATCTGGTCCACCTCATTTCTTTCCCTTCCTGATTTATTCTCTGTATTTATTATTTTGGTCGTTCCCGTGGGTGTCCCCCACAGCTCCTCATGTACACGTTTTTTGTTTTGCATTTTACGAAATATCCCAAACCCAAGAGTTGGCCGAGCCCTATGCTAGCGAACAACAGTGGTAAGGGTACGTACAGGCTTTGAAACAGGCAGGCTTGAGTTCAGCATCGCTGACAAGGCACCTGCCGCTGGGGACAGGGATGCCTGCCTTATGCTGAGAATGGAATCAGATCGTTAATGAAAACTGTCCGGCACAACCCGTGATAATGTCCTTTGAAGCCAGATTTCGCTTATGTATCTTTTCTGCTTTATAATTTTGAGAAATGCCTGAAACCTACAGCAAAGTCACAAAAGCAGGCAGCGGACCCCCTCCCCAGAGTGGCCAGCTCGCAACCCTGGCACATTTGCTTCTGTGTTAATTTGCCGGGTGAGCCATAACGAAATACCGACCCCTGGGGGCTGCGGGTCCGAGAGCAGGTGTGGGCCGGGCTGACCCCCTCCGAAGCGGAGGGGGCATCCATTCCAGGCTCCCCCGGCTTCTGCTGTTTGCTGGCAGTCAGTCCTTGGGGTTTCTTAGCTTGTGGGTACGTGACCCCATCCCCACTCCAGCTTCACACGGAGCTCTCGTATGTTTGCGTCCAAATTTCCCCCGTCTTACAAGGACACCAGTCATGTCGGATGAAGGACCCACAAGCTCCAGCTTATCTTAATTAATTACATGTACAATGACCCTATTTCCAAATAAGGTCACGTTCTGCAGTGCTGAGGATGAGGACTTCAACACATGCACCGGGGGTCACAGCTCAGCCCACAGCGCTTTCTGAGATGTCAGACTTCTCTGCTAACACTCCAGAGGCTTCCTCCCGGGACGGTAGCCTTGACCCACAGCCCGGATGCTCCTGCACCCCAGGGTCCCCCAGGCTGGGTTATCCGGCCCTGATGGGAGCCCAGCCGAGGACCCCCTGCTTCACTCAGATGTCTCTGTCTTCGGCTCCTTCCAACTGGGGGCCCCAGCTCTCTCTGCCACCGCCAGCCCTGCCCTTCTCTGTGTGTGCGTGTGGTGTTTGGTTTTTTTTCAATCAAATCTCAATTTTATTTTGGATATGGAAAGCCTTAGGATCGGGAATACAGAATTAGGAATATTTTTACTGAGGTACGATTGACCACAACGTACTAATTTCAGGTGCACAATGAAATGATTCGCGATGTGTATATACTGTAAAACGACGACCCCGGTAAGGCCACCAACATCTGTCACCACACACAGTCACAAAACGCGTCTCCTGTAGTGAGAAGTTTCAGTCCACTCCGTAGTGCTTCCAAATGCGCAACACGGCACTGACTGTCGTCCCCGTCACCGTGCTGCGCATCCCCGGGCCGTGACTCTCGCATTTCGTAACTGCAAGTTTATGCACTTTGACACCCCCCCCAACTTGCCAGCACCTCCCTCCCCGTCTCGGTAGCCACCAATCTGTCCCCTACGTCCGTGAGCTCGGGTCGTGTTTTAGTTTGCTTTTCGTTTTTAGATTCCACGTGGAAATGAGATCCTACGGTGTTTGTCTTTCTCCAACTGACTTACTTCACTTAGCACAGTGCTCTCCGGCTCCGTCCATGTGGTCACAAATGGCAGGTTTCGTTCTTTTTTTTTTTTTTTTTTTTAGTCGCTGAGCAACATTCCGTCGTGTACACAGCACACCTGCCTTATCCATCATCCGTCGGCTGCTTCCATACTTTGGCTGTTGGTACAATGCTGCTGTAAACATAGAGCTGCGCATATCTTTTCAAATTAGTCAAATTAGTCTTTCTCTGCGGATAAGTATCAGAAGAGGAATTGCCGGGTCGTAGGGTAGTTCTGTTGTTGGTTTCTTGAGGAGCCTCCACACTGTTCTCCAGAGCGGCTGCACCAGTTTGCAATCCCACCAGCAGTGCACGAGGTTGCCCTTTCTCCAAGTCCTCGCCAGCACCTGTTTCTTGGGTCGTTAACGTCAGCCACTCTGACCAGTGTGGGGGGAGGCGTCTCACTATGGTTTGGATTTGTATCTCCCCGACGATGAGAGATGTGGACTATCTTTCCGTGTGTCTGCGGCCCTCTGTGTGTCTTCTTTGGAAAAGTGTCTGTTCAGGTCCTCTGCCCATTTTTAATTGGATTGTTTGGGCATTTTGCTAGCGATTTACATGAGTTTTTATGTCTTTTGGATATTATCAGGTGTGTAATTTGCAAACACTTTCTCCCATCCCGTAGGTGGCCTTTCCACTGTGTTGATGGTTTTCTTTGCTGTGCAGACGCTTTTTACTTGGACGAGGCCCCATGTGTTTGTTCTCACTTTTGCTGACGGCAGAAAGGGTCCAAGCCAGGGGCACAGGCACGCAACCCCGGGTGTGTCTGACACCTGTTTGTGGGTGATCACAGGCGTGCTGGGGCCCTTCGGGGACCCCACGGCAAGGAGGCCAAGGCACCCTGTTTCCGTCCTGATGAGTAAGAGACCCGTGGGAGTGGCTGGAGCCCCGACAGCCCATTGCGTGACCCTTCTGACACCACAGACAGGGTTTGCCTAAATCCAGCGCCAGCTGGGGGTGAAACGTGTGGCCCGTGGGCCGCACCGCTTTCTGTGGGAGCCTGACACACAGCCTGTCCCGCGACGCTGGGCCCCACCGTGAGGTCTCGGGGTCCCCACACTGCCAGGCGGGCACAGTGTTCTCTCCTGAGCCCACTCCCCAAACATCTCATTATCAAATATAAATAGACAACATTTCAGCGTTTAAGCCCAAACAATAGAAGACTCACAGATGTTGGTATCGTAGGGACAAAGTGGACTCCCATCCTCTGTCCTCAGAAGTGAGTTCCACTATCGACCCTTCTCTGGGAAGGAGTTTGGGTTGACTCCCAGGCCCCATCTGGCCGTCGCTCCCGCTCCCGGAAAGCAGACAGCCGAGGGCCCACCTAGCCCCTCTATCTCCCCCATGAGGTCTCAGCCCCGTGCTCCCTCTGGCCCACTCCCCCCTGGTGCTCCCAGGCTCCTATTCCAGGGAGCCCATCTTTCTCCATCCGGACAGGCCCCTGAGCGCCCGGCTGGGATCCCCCCTACGGCCCTGCACCCCGGCCAAACAACCAGCGCCCTCGACGGTCACACACCCCGTGACTTGAGGGAGGTGGGTGCTCCCTGGTCAGAGCTGCTCTGGAGCCTGCGACGGGCCTGCCCCCTCCCGCCTTCCCCACAGGAACACTACCCCCTCGACCTGTCTCGGGCCAGGCGTAAGCTGCCGCTGTATCCGGCCCCTGCCCCTGAGCATGCTGTGAGGACACGGGCGGGTGGGAAGGGAACGGGCCCGGTCATGGGAGTGTGTCCCAGGCAGGAGTCTGAGGAGAAGCGGCCAGGCTGTATGGCGCCCAGAGGAAGTGGGACCTGGGCAGGACCGGGAGGCTGCCGTGTAGACGCCTAGGCAGAGAGGCTGGGCCAGGGTGGACGGGGCTCCGGACAGCCCAGAGTCCCCTCCTCACCAAGTTCAGACTCCCTGGGAGGCCCACAAGGAGCCGACGAACAGAGGAGTGACCCAAATGGTTGCAAATTCATGTCAGACACGGGGCAGTGAGGGTCTGAACCAGAGTCCTTGAGGGGCCCTTGTGGGGGGTGGGGGGCTTGCAGGAGTGGGCAGCCCACGCACCACGTGGACCAGAGGGAGCCCGGAGGCACAGGGCTCTGGGCGGGCCCCACGGATCACACGGCCTCGGTGCCAGACTTCGCCCTGCTGGCACTGTTCCTCCCTCGACGAGTTCCGTGAGTGGACGTGCGCTTCTCGGGCAGATGCGTAAAGACGGCTGTTGGTGCCGCCAGGGTCAGCGGTCCTGCTGTCCCGTGCTGGTCGTGTGCGCCTGGGACGCACAGTTACAATAGGAGACGGGCTTACTGTGGGCGCCCCTGGTGCTGTGTCACCCCCGGGAAAGCCGGGCTGGGGTCCGTGAGCAGATGGCCGGCTCCACAAGGCAGTGGGTTTCCCGCCTGCACCAGCCACCCCCCGCCCAGTCCCGGCCTGGCCCCCTCCAGGCCTTCTGGCCTACTCCTGGCCAGTGGGATGGGCCCTCTGCGGGGCCGCAGAGATGCACAGACAGCCACCCCCCCCCACGGGGGCCAGGGGACCCCAGGCTGGGCGGCCTCCTGGCCCTGACACCCAGGGGGTGCCCACCCTCATAGCCACGTGACAGCCCTGTCCCTCCATCAGTGGCCAAGGGAGACACCAGGGAGGCCAGAAGTAGAAGGTCCAGACTGGTTGGGCCAGCCTCTCTAAGCCTCGGGGCTCCCAGTGTAAAGGGGGGTGGGGGGCACCCTGCGTGCTCCCCCGAGCAGGGCCAGCGACGCACAAGGATGCTGCGGGCGTGTCAGGGCCCACCCTGCTCTCACCACCTCTGTGATCTCGCCCCACGTGAGGTGCCCAGTGGGGACGTACAGGAAGAGCTCTTGTTACCCGCGCCCCGACGGGGCTCTCTGGGCCCTGGCACCAGCCCCTTCTTCCCCGGGGCCACGGTCACTCGGCCAGAAGGACACCGTGACCGGCCTCAGGCACCCTGTCCCCAGAGGCAGAGGGACTCCAGCTGAAGGGCTGTGGCCCCGTGTGTGAGGAACCTCGCCCGGCACACGCCGTTGCTGGGGTGGAGGCCTCGCCAGGGAAGAAAAGCTCAGAGGGGCAGCCACACGGCCTCACCTCGGGACTGACGTCCCCGGTCCCTGAGCATTTGGGGAGCCGAGGGGTGGGGGACGTGCTAGGAGAGCCAGGAAACGACCCCGCTGGGCCACGTCTCAGGTCTGGATGCTCCCAGGGGAGCAGCGCGGCAGGGGCCGGGAGGGCCTGGGGGCTGCAGGGGCAGGGGGCCGGGGCAGGGGGCGGCAGGGCCAGAGCTGGGTCCTGGCTTAGCAGCTCGTGGCCAGCCGCCTCCTCCCTCCGAGCCTTGGTTTCCCCGTGTGTAACTCGGGTTGTGGCGCAGCCTCCCCGTGTGAGCCGACCACAGGGAAGGGGGGCCCAGCACGTGTGGGTTTGGCCGTGACTCTGTCTCTGGAACCCGGGGAGCCTGTGACCCGTCCCCGTGTCGCCTTGACCCCATATGGGTGCTGCTGGCGTGGTGCTTGGGCCTCGATGGAGGGGCCTCTCCCCGGCCGCGGTGAGCACGCGAGGGCGTGTACACTCACGCGGGCGCTTGTGGACGTGTGGGAGCACGAGTGCATGTGTGCGCGCGGGCCTGGGCGTGCCCGGCGTGGCGGCGTCCCTGGGCCAGAGCCCTGGCCGTCAGGTGTTCTTGCGAGGCCTCGTTTTGTGGAGAGCGGGCCGGGGCCCAGGACTGTCAGGGGCCTCCATTTCTGTCCATATCAGGGGGCGACGGCCCGGCTGGCCTCCGAGCTCCCGTCCCCAGGGTCGTGGCGGAAGACACGGAGGGACCCGCGCTGACCCCACCCAGCTCTAAGCTGGTCCTGAGACGGGCCAAAGGCTGGACCCTCAGCCTCCTGGGGGCTGGGCTTTCCATGGGAGGCCCCCACCGGCCCCTCCCAGCCTCTCGGACACCCACCCCTCCACCCTCAGTATACACGGGACTCGGCCAGGCCCCCGATGCGCCAGCGGCCCAGGACGGTGGAGCCAGGAACGTGGGGGGTCAGGCCCTCGGACACTAGCAACCCGGAGTCAGCAAGGGAAGGGTGACGGCCTAACCACCACGGTCCAGGGAGAAACGGGGGGACCTGGGGCCTCGGGTCTCGGTGGGCTCAAAGGACAAAAGTCCCACCACAGAGCTGCCCGGGGAGAGCGCCTCGGCCTCTAGAGCGGGCCGGGAGGAGCTGCCAGGGGCTCTGCAACGTGCGAAGGTGGGGAGAGCAGGAGGGTCTGGGCGGGCTGCCCGCGTGCCTCCTTCCTCACCAGTCGGTCCTCTCCCCACGCCTCAGACTCCCCCTACAGGCCCTGGAGCCCCCTCACCTTCTCCCCGGCCCAGCTCACGGTGCTCGAGGGGGAGAACGCCACCTTCGTCTGCCACCTGCCCGACGTACCCGAGAGCTTCGTGCTCAACTGGTACCGCGTGAGTCCCCGCAACCAGACGGACAAGCTGGCCGCCTTCCAGGAGAACCACACCGAGCCCGGCAAGGACAGGCGCTTCCGCGTCACGCGGCTGCCCAGCGGGCAGGACTTCCACACGACCATCCTCACCGCCCAGCTCAACGACAGCGGCATCTACCTCTGCGGGGCCATCTACCTGCCCCCCAACACGCAGATCTATGAGAGCCCACGAGCGGAGCTCACTGTGAAAGGTGCACGGCCGGGCAGCCGGGGCAGGGGGCGTGGCAGGGACTGCCCAGGCTGCACTTCCAACCCACGGGGTGACTGAAGCACCCCCACACCCGCTGCCCCTTAAGGAAAGGCAGGGCCTCGGGGGGGGCGGCAGGTGGCACTTGTCAGGGTAGGGAAAGCTTGGAAGCTCAACGGAGGTGCCGCCTGGGAGAGGCTGGTCGGTGCAGAGCTAGAAGCCAGGCCCCTCAGGATTTGGGCAGGGGAGGATGCTGGGTCCCCTCCCTGGGTCCCACCTCCCTGGGTCCCCTCCCTGGGTACCCTCCCCGTGTATCCTCTGGGTCCCCCTTCTCTGGGTCCCCTCCCTGGGTCTCCCCTCCCTGGGTCCCCCATTCCTGAGTCCCCTCCTTGGGTCCCTCCCAGTGTCCCCCCCATGTCTCCTCCTTGGGTCCCTCCGTGTACCCTCTCTGGGTCCCCCCTCCCTGGGTCCCCCC